GAACGGAAGAGGGATGATTGGTGAGGTCATTCTAAACAACTTTTTCCTTTGCCAAAATGTTGGTTAAGGCTTTGTTTTCGAGTTATTATCGAAAAACACTGGCCAATCAGAGCGCGCCGTTAGCGCGAGCCGAACCACGAGAGTGTTGGGTATGTTCCGCGCGGTCGTGATCAAGTGCATCGGCACCACGTCGGTGTAATAGGATTCGTTGTTCATGAGTAATCAATAATTCGATACAATTATTCTTTTCTTTTTTTTATTCATTATCCGATGCAACTTCTACTCAACGAATCCCATCATATCAACGTAGTGCCGAGGCACTTGATCACGACCGCGCGGAACATACCCAACACTCTCGTGGTTCGGCCCGCGCTAACGGCGCGCTCTGATTGGCCAGTGTTTTTCGTTAATAACTCGAAAACGAAGCCTTAACCAACATTTTGGCAAAGGAAAAAGTTGTTTAGAATGACCTCACCAATCATCCCTCTTCCGTTCCTACCCCAGTTCTGGGACACCCTGTATAATGCTTCTTACAATGGTGGACAACAAGATTTGCAATGCCCTTACGAATACAACATCCGCAATGCGTTGTTATATTTGTAATGCCAAGCCAACAGAGATGAATTCTTTAGATCTCATAAATTCAAAAATGTGCAATGCTAGCAATTATTCATTTGGACTTTCTACCCTTCATGCATGGATCAGATGTTTTGAATGCCTTTTACATATTTCATACAATATACCCTTCAAACAATGGAGGGCAAATACACCTGATTTAAAAAAAATTCGAGATGAGAGAAAAAAACATATTCAACAGCAATTTAGACAAAAATTAGGATTGTTAGTTGACGTAGTAAAACAAGGATGGGGTTCATCGAATGATGGAAACACTGCAAGAACATTTTTTTCAAATACAGAACTTTCGGCCAGTATAACAGGAATCGATGCTACATTAATTAAGAAATTTCACGTAATACTACAAGTCATTTCATCTTTGTACGAAATAGACCTTGATAAGTTTCAAGAATATACTCACAATACAGCAAAACATTTCATAAATCTTTATCATTGGTATTATATGCCGGCCTCCATACATAAAATATTAATTCACGGGAAAGAAATAATAAAACACGCACTACTGCCAATCGGTCAATTGTCTGAGGAGGCTCTAGAGAGTAGACATAAAGATTTCAAACACTACAGATGCAGAAATAGTCGAAAAATTTCACGGATTGCTACTAACGAAGATATATTTCATAGATTGTTACTAACTTCGGATCCATATATATCATCTTTACGTATGAAGTCTCACAACAAAAAACCCAAACCTCTGGACCCAGAAGCTAAAGAACTAATAATTAAATAATAACAATTGTAAATAAATTTAAAAAGTAAAAAATATGATATTAAATAAACATAAAATATGTTACATCATACATCATTAAAACCCATTACTTGTCAATATTCTTCGCTCCAAATTTCATTTCGCTATCTTTAATGATATAGGAGTTATACCAAAATGTCACTAAATTTCTCGATTTAGACCACTGTGCGGCCGTCCTCCGATACTGTCCGCTGTATCCTTAGCCACGGCCGAGAGAGTTCCCTCTCTCGGCGGCTTCCCGACCGCCGGACCGGGCGTTACGTCTCTACGGAGCACGGTCTTCTTACTGCCTGGGTGAGGACGGGTTGTGTCTACGGCCGTCCGCCCATGAAGGCATCTAACCGCCGTTCCCGACAATCCGACTACCTCCGCCGTGTTCCGTACCGCACCGAAGTACTACCATAGGACGGCAAACATCCCGTCTCGCGACCGCGCCGCAACCAGACCGCGCCGTGACCGCTCAGCACCGTTAGTTTAAACCTTTCGCTTCGAGCGCCGGATATATCCGGCATCCACGTGACGACCTGTGAGTACGAGCGCCGGATTTATGCGGCATCCACGCGGCGACCTGTGAGTACGAGCGCCAGATATATCCGGCATCCACGCGGCGACCTGTGAGTACGAGCGCCAGATACAATTGACATCTATATGAAATGTCTTAATCACAGTTGTTATTTAAGACTTAGAAAAACGTACATACAAAAACCACACGCACTGTGCACAATTCTCATGCGCGCTTCCGTTCAGTGACGGCACTTCGGCGGACTGGACTGCCGAAGCGAAAGGGTTAAAAACCGCGCCGTGACCGCGACCGCTCGGCACCGTTAGTTGTAAGAACCGCGCTGTGACCGCGACCGCTCGCTACTGTTAGTCTTAAGAACCGTTAGCTTTAAGATCGCTAGTTTTAAGGACCGTTAGATTGATAGGACACCCAGGGCCGTACTTTTAAGCTAGTTGTAATCTTAGCAATAAATACATGTTCTTTTCACCTATATCCAACCAGCTTTGCTTCATTCGTTCACCTGAACCCCGGACTTACCGGCTGAGCTGGCAACACCCCGGTGGTAACCCGTCACAACTTCAATGTTAGAAAATAATGTAATTCAATCATCTGCCTCTCCTTATAATTCACCGGTTTGGGTGGTTCCAAAAAAACCTGGTCCTTCAGGTAAACCACGTTGGCGTATGGTCATAGATTATCGTAAGTTAAATGAAAAAACAATTAGTGACGCTTATTCGCTTCCCAACACCACTGATATATTAGATCAACTTGGAGCAGCTAAGTATTTCAGTATTCTTGATCTGGCATCTGGCTTTCATCAGATCCCCATGGATCCCAAATCTAAGCAAAAAACCGCTTTTAAACTCCTTATGGGCATTATGAATTTAATAAAATGCCTTTTGGTCTTAAAAATGCCCCAACTTCAAAATTCGATTATAATTGGACAGGACCGTTTAAAATAATAAGAATTTATGATGATCACAATGCAGAATTAGCAATTGGAGCAAATAAATTTAAAATAGTTCACACAAGCGTTGCTAACAATAATTTATTTAACGATCAGTAGCTATATATATAGGAAATCCTTCCAGAAACTTTGTCCTTTGTTCATTCATTCATTCATTATAAAGGAGTAACATAAATCAGTTATAGGTGAACATCAAGGTGCTCGTAAACTCTTTAAAAGACTTAAGTCAGATTATTTTTGGCCAGGAATGCTTGGGGATGTTAGTGAATTCACACGTATTTGCTCCAGTGAAATTTGATCCCTGATCCGTATGAATTGCACGAAAGCAACCAAACCTACTTATGAATTGTTCTGCAAGGGCTATAACAACTGTAATTGAATCTATGTTAGGTAATGGAATAGCATCCGCATATTTTGGTAAGTTATCTTGAAGGGTGAGTAAATAACGATTCTGTTTATAAGAGAACGTTTGCTAAGATTGTAAGCAAACTTCTCAAATAAGGGGGGAGGTGTTGCGTATACCTGGTATCCTCGCCCGGCAATGCTCGCCGGATACATAAATTCGTCCCTTTCCTGTCGATCCCTTGATTCCTATGACATCCTTCCCGAACAGGATACATAACTTTGAAAAGATTCCCTTTTCCTAAAAAGCATCTGAGATTTCCCAAAAACATATTAATCCCTTCTGAACTAAAACACGTCCTTTCCATTTAGAAAACTTTCCCTTTGTCTATTCCTAACACATGATGCACAACCCAACCCCACCAAAAGCGCTTTTCAGCCTCTTAAATATAGGCTCCAAGCGAGGAGCCAGCACATTCAAAAAGCGAACTATGTAAAGTGCGGGACGGATCGACGTAGCTATTTTAAATAAAGTAAAAATAAACACTTGGTGTAGTCTTTCGACAGCCGTCAGCCGTGTGATGAGATAAGAGCGACGTGAGGACGAAACAGTTCCTCCAACTATTGGTTCGCTGTTAGTCATTAGTCTTTCGAAAATCATTGCAAACGACAGTCAAACCTCGGTAAAGAATAAAGTCTACGATATAGTGCTAGTTTATTTCTGTGTTTTTTTTGTTAATAGTTGTGTGTTAATTTGCAATTAATAATAAGGTACATGAATATATAATCATGGGAATAAATCCAGTTAATATGATAAATATCTTAATAATAGAAAAAAACTCTGGTAAATGCTAAGGAGATTGAATTAATTGATAGATATAAACTTATCAATCATGCAGAAATAGAAACCGTACAAGAACTGTTATTTGATGACCAAACGGACGAACCAATATTTGCATCGATAGACGATGAAGATGAAGGGGAAATTAGTTTACGTACAAGTACAGATGAAGAAGAATCTGGGAGTTCACGAGATAATGAAGACAATGAACTTATTACCCAATATAAAGTAAACGTCATTAATTTTTGAAAAAGTGGGAAGAGGAAGCGGCTATCACTTGCAACAGTAAAAAGAAGGTATGAAAGGGTGAAGAGTTTAAAGCAGTTATACAGGTGGGATAAACAAATGATTGAAAGTGGTTCTCGTAGAGATAAATTAAAACAAATTGCAAAGGGAACGTTGGAAGCAAGAAAAAGGAAAATATTAATACATGACAATGATATTCGAAGGTGGGCACTGCAGGAAAACCAAAAATTAAATTTGGAAGTGTTTCAGGCATCGTCTCATTGGCTCTGGAACTTCAAAAATAAACACAGAATTGTTTCAAGGAAAACAAGAAAATTTATAATGCGTAATTACAGTGAAAATTTTTCAATGATAAAAGAATCAGCAGATAACTTTGTTTCACATGTCAAAACATTTTTTGAATCCTATAAACAGCAAAATATTTTTAATACAGATTATATTCTTAGAATAGTAACTCGTAGTGTGTAAATAACAAATTATAAAAAAAGAAATGTTAATATTAACGTAAGTATTAAGGTGAATTGCATAAAAACTGATCTTTAGGTGTTTCAAAAATATACCAACCTTATACATTTTCTTTATGTTGGGACCAACTGAATTTGAAAAGTAAAGAAATTCATGTTGTTATCTTCATTTGTTTGTCACTTGTTTTCTAAAATTCGGTGAACTTGTAGAAAAGCTACTCCCCTCCGATTTCGTTCATTTTGAAATATGTTGTAAAAGTCGACATTTTAAGCAACTTTTTTCCTCTAAGCTATATGTCGAAATTAATTAGTTTGCGAGATATTCGCGAAAAACTATTAGTACTATTGCATTGAATTTCGCCTGCACGTATACTTCCACGGCACACAGTGGTCCCGTTTGAAAATTTTTGCATTTCAACTTTCTTTTTTTATTATTCAGCAATAATGGAAACTCTTCGCAAAAATAAAGATTTATTCTTCGCTCTTAAAAATGCATCGAAAGACATGAGTGACTATTTATTTTTGCATGATTTAATATGTAAAAAAATTGATATTTCGCCCGATATATCTGATTTACTAAAATCGAGTTTAAAAAGGTTTGTTTTTAAACTAAAACAGAGATGGGTACAATCTCGGTACATTGAATCGAAATTTTTGAAACGTAACGAGGACTGGTTGCAGCGACATTTTACTTATCCGTCTGTAATATTAGCAGTTATGCCATCTACCAGCACATTAAATACTAAAAGAAATAGGTCTTCAACCGTAAAAGTATATAGAGGCAACAAACATATTTCTGAGTGCAACAGTAGAGAAAAAATACGAAGAGCCAAATCTCTAGTTGATAATTATACGTTACAAGAGCTTTAAATGCAACAAAAATGAGCTTTCGTAAGCATGGCATGCATTATAAATCGCGTCTGCTTCAAAATCTGCAAAATGATAAATTCAATAAACATATTCAAAGTATATTTACAAAAGACAGAAAATGTTTATTCAACCAGTGAATGTTTTCGATAGAGAAAGCACTAAATATTTTTATTACCGCAGATCTGTCTAAATTTCAATACGTACAGTCTGTAACACAAGAGCGTGGACGCGATATCTCCGAATGTTGATGCGTAGTAAAGTGGCGACCGAGAAACAGAGACGTTTTTAATATGAATGCAGCGTATGCAAAACGGTTTGAAGCGGTCTTCCTCTGTTTGCATCCGAAAGGACCAAAAATGAGTGTACGAAGTACAGCTAAATACCTGCATAAATCACGGGAGTTCGTTAACAAGTGGGTACAACGATATAAAAATACTAAATGTGTGGACGACCTTCCAGATCGAGGTTCAAAACACTCAACTACAGCGAGGGAAGATAGGGCGATTTTTCAACTGTTTTCAAAGAATCCACTGTTTTCATTACGTAAAGGCCAAGCTGTTTTGGCAAGGAGAGGTATAAATATTGATATAATGACACTAAGACGTCGATTACAAGAAAATAACATTGCATTGCATTTCAAGAAAGCATGTCGAAAATCGGTTGGCGTGGGCTCATTCAAATATTGATCGCAATTGGAGTGATATTGTTTTTAGCGAGAAAGCTTCTTTTTGGGCCTGGTCAATTCGTGACAATCCAGTAATTCAAAGGACTGTAAAACATCCATTAAAGGTGCATGTGTGGGGATGTTTTAATGCGCGCGGATTCGGGACTTTGTGCGTTTTTACAGGCAATTTAAACGCCCAAAGAATGATGAAATTATACCAAAGGGGGCTATTGACATCAACAAAACGGTGGTTTAATCAACCTGGTGATAGATGGCTTCTTCAAGAAGACAATGGTCCGAAACATCGGAGCCGCGTGTGTATCGAATGGAAGGCGAGAAACGGCATCATGGTACTGCCTTGGCCATCTCAGACCCCTAACGCAAACCCGATCGAAAATGTTTGGGCCATTATGAAGCAGAAGCTTCAAGGAAGACGCAGTGCAACACTGAAAGCGCTAGTAAACCGAATTAGACAAATATGGAGGTCGCTACCTGTCTCATATGCGGAAAAATTAGTCGAAAGCATGCCAAGACGTTGCGAAGCTATAATCGCAAATGGAGGAGATTGGACCCACTACTAATTGTAAGTAAGAGCGTATTAGTTTTTTAGATATACTTTTCATCTATATAAAGTTTTTCATAAAAAGAAATCTTTTACCCAGAAATATCGCGTCCACGCTCTTGTGTTACAAACTGTAACAATCAGAAATGAAGCAATCAAATGAAACAGTAATCATTAGCCATCATATTCCAAATTATTGCAAGAGAAAAAGAACTGCTATCCAGAAAAACAAACCATATCAGTAACCGAAAAATACGCAAAAGTTGAAGCGTAAAGTTTATTAAACCATACAGCAAAACGAATTTTAAAATGTGTGAGAAGTTTAACAAATGGCATAAATTTACAATTATTATTAACGTGTAAATGGGGTTGCGATGGTTGTGCGGGACTATCAAGATACAAACAAATGCAGTCTTGTGCCATTAGAACTTAAAAATAAAATAACTGGTAAGATCCTATGGCACAATCAGCAACCATCATCAGCTTGGTTTTGCCGCCCAATCAAATTTGAATTTGTTAAAGAAACACATGAAGTTATAGAAACAGAAATTAATAGTATTAATGATCAAATCCGAAATTTGCAGTCATTAAAAATAAGAAATATAGAAATTGATTTCACTATGATTCTTATAATGGTAGATAATAAGGTGTGCAATGCCATTACCAACACACAATCTGCAATGCGTTGTTACATCTGTAACGCTAAACCTACAGAAATGAACAGGATAGATGTAATCAAATCAAATTTTTGAGATAGCACCAATTATGCCTTTGGCCTCTTAACACTACATGCATGGATAAGATGTTTTGAGTGTTTACTACATATTTCATACAATATTTCGTTTAAAAAATGGGCTGCAAATTCTCCATAACTGAAGAAAATACGAGAGGAAAGAAAAAAACAAGTACAAAAAGATTTTAAGGAAAGAATGGGGTTATTAGTTGATGTTGTGAAACAAGGGTGGGGTTCGTCTAATGACGGAAACACCGCACAAACATTCTTTTCAAATCCTCGAGTTTCAGCAAACATAACAGGAATCGATGTGCAATTAATTAGAAAATTTCATACAATACTGCAAGTTATTTCATCACCACATAAAATAGACCTTGACAAATTTGGAGAATATACTAAAAACACAGCGGAACATTTTATAAATCTATATGGTTGGTACTACAGTAATGCTTCGAAATAAGCAAGTGGCTCGGGACCGAACAGTTGCTTATTTCGAAGCAGGTACCTATTCGGCTTGACTTTGTTCTTGAAACGGGACGATAGAAAACGCGAGAAACGAGTGAGAGATCCGAGGTAGCGGCAAATCATAAAGTGATCGGCCGAGCAGCGATGTTATTTTTTGGACAAGGATAGAATATAACATGCCCTCTCATTCTCGCACTATGCTTTATTTCGAAGCAAATATACCAGACTGAGAAAGCATTATATATATTCCATCCTTCTTCTACTAACCGATGTCACTGCTCAGTCGAGCGTGAAATTTATTACCCTAAACATCGGCTTCGCGCTTTGATGGACCTCTCACTCGTTTCTCGTACCTCTCACTTTGCGGGCGACTTCAAACAAAGAAGAGGGGATAGCGACTTGCCTATTTCGAAGCAGAGACCACTTGCTTATTTCGAAGCATTACTGTATATGCCAGCGTCAGTGCATAAGTTATTAATTCATGGGAAGGAAATAATAAAATATGCATTGCTGCCAATTGATGAATTATCAGAGGAGGCACAAGAAAGCAGACATAAGGATTTGAAAAAATTCAGAACCAAAAATACAAGAAAAAATTCTAGAATGGCAACAAATGAAGATTTATTTAACAGATTATTATTGACTTCCGATCCGTACATACCGACACTGAGGATAAAATCACATGATCGGAAAATTAAAATTTTAGATCCTGAGGCTCAAGATCTACTTATGAAATAAACACTACAAAACTCATTAAAATGCTAAGGTACATTTACGTTTTATGTTTAAAAGTAACAGATAAAGAATATCAACTAAATAATACTCACTAAATATATTTACTAAACAAAATTTGTTTACTTGCAGCATATTTAATCAAACTATGGCTATAAGCTAATCGCAAAAAGCACGAAAACACGACACAAAGATTTTAAAAACATTAGAATTCGAAATAGCAGAAAATACTACAGGATAGAAATAAACAGGGACATGTTATATCGTCTCCCCATAACATCAGACCCATGTACATCTACCATTAGAATAAAATTATTAGAATCAATTATAACAACAACAACGATAATAATAATAATAATAATATTGATATAATCCTTTCTTTACCCTATCTGTAACTCGACATATATTATCCAGTCCAAGTTTCATGCCAATATCTTTTACGGTTCAAAAGTTATATGCATTTGTCACTAAAATACTCAAACCGGACCACTGCGGCAGTGTGCGAGTCGGCTAGCGACCGTCGCTCGTCTACTTTTTATGTCAACAGCACTACATGGCCTGGCTACCCGGGTGCCAGTGAACTCACCACATGGTGAGCTTAAAATTACATTTAACTAATATCAATAATTTTGACATTGGACTTGTGTGGCCGGCCGCCTAAAGGTGGCCGGAATATTAATGTGACCTAACCTAACCTAATCTGGACATGCAAATAACAGAAATCATTATATTTCATCCATGCACACATACCCACACATACGTGTGATTCACGAGAAACAGAACACCTAATTATCTCCGTTCGGTTTAAAAATAGAAGAAAATGTTAGAGAAAAAAGTTGTACTGTTTAAGGAGGCAAATATGGGGAAATAAAAAAAATTTCCGATTGTTATCGTTTTTAAGGTCTTTTGAAGGTTATCGATAATTTTTAGACTGCACCATATATTTTTAACATCATAGAGTTGTAGCTGATGTCAAGACGAGTACAACGATGTGGTACACTATGACCTTCAAATGACCTTGAAATAAGAAATTTATGATAAAGCAATGATAACTTCAAACTTTGCAATTAATTTATTTAAATTAAATTAAATGTTCAAAATGATGACCTTGAGCAATGATGCAAGCATTTAAACGTCCTGCAAGGCAATTAATTGCCCCTTCAATCGTTTCTGTTGAAATTGATCTACAAGATCTAATTATTCTTTCTTGCATGTTCTCTGGTGTACTTGACTGATCACGATACACATCATCTTTCAATGTTCCCCATTAAAAAAAATCAAGGCGAATTAAATCGGGTGAACGAGCTGGCCATAGTATGTGTCCATTATGTCCTATCCAGTGACTTGGAATCGTTGATCAGGCGAAATAGAACCTATTCTTGAGTTCAGGGTCATTTGAAGGTCGTAGTGTACCATATCGTTGTACTCGTCTTGACATAGCTACAACCCTATGATGTTAAAAATATATGATGCAATCTAATCGATGACCTTCAAAAGACCTTGAAAACAATAACAATCGGAAATTCTGTTTATATCCCCATATTTGTCTCCTTAAACAGTACAACTTTTTTCTCCTACATTTTCTTCTATCTTTAAACCAAACGGAGATAATTAGGTGTTCTGTTTCTCGTGAATCACCCGGTATACACAACTACATGTACACATACACTTGATGTGCAAAATCCATCCAACAACCTCCTCGTGGTGCACATTGGTTAAAACTAATGTTGGTGGTATTTTATTTTTCAGTTACTTATACGTCTAGGTTAGGTTAGGTGAGACCACATCAATATTCCACGCGAGCAAATGTTATAATTTGATTTCTAAACTCACCCGTTGTATGAATAGCAACCGGACCACACGTTGTTGCCTATAGCAACGGTAGGCAAGAGAGCCGGCCCACACATGGCGACGGCATACGTATAGGCAGAATTCGCTGTAGTAGTAACAATATTCTTTCGCGAATATCTCGTAAACTAATTGAGTCCGACATATAGCTTAGAGGAAAAAAGTTGCTTAAAATATCGACTTTTACAACATATTTCAAAATGAACGAAATCGGAGGGGGAGTAGCTTTTCTACAAGTTCGCCCAAAATTCATTTACAAAGGTTAAAAAGTGAAATGCCTCGTGGAAAAGAGTTGTCAGAAACAGAAAAGGCCAAGATCGATGCTTTTCGCATTGAAGGCAGAGGTTACGGCTATATTGCAAAAAAAATATCACGATCAAAAAGTGCAGTTGCAGATTATGTAACTAAAAGATGTAATCGTGGAGAAAAGAAGCGTCCGGGTCGCCCTTCAAAACTATCTCCTCGAGATAAACGTACAATTTTTCGGAAAACTTCTAATTCCGCAAAGTCTTTAGTTCAAATTCGAGATGAAATTAATTTGAATGTTTCAAAAACTACTATTTATAGAACCATTGTATCATCTCCACACATTGTACGGTCGAAAATGATGTTGGCGCCAAGATTAAAGAATGCGGATAAATCAGCCAAACTTTCATTCGCCAAAGCAAACATGAGCATGAATTGGGAAAATGTTAGTAAAAGTGTTTCGTTTATTTCTTTTTTTTTCTACAAATGGAATATTTTATAAAGACAATTTATTCTTTTAGGTTGTATTTAGTGATGAAAAGAAATTCAATCTAGATGGGCCTGATGGCTTTAATTCGTATTGGCATCATGTAAAGCTCAATAGCTTTTACTTCTCACAAAATGAATAGCAGTAATTACACAGATATGTTACAAAATTATTTAATACCCCTTTGGACAGAATACCATAACGAGAATTTAATTTTCATGCAAGATAATGCATCAATTACCGTTATTTAGATTGGCCGGCACGTTCCCCCAATCTAAATCCTATAGAAAATTTATTAAATTTTCAGAAAATCATACATGCTCAAATGTAGAAGAATTAAAAAATGCAATTGTTACAACGTGGAATAATATTGAAGAAAATATACTAAAAAATCTTATCAATAGCATGCCGAATCGAATTTTTGATGTAATTCGTAAAGGTGGAAACACGATAAATTATTAAGTTTTGTAGTTTTATACATAACAATGCAATAAAACAGTTTTTGTGAAAAGGTTGGTATATTTATGAAACGCCAGAAAATTAGTTTTTATGCGATTCAGCTTAATATTTACGTTAATATTAAAATTTTTTAATACGAACTGTTATCTCAAGAATATAGGCCACAACTTGCTCCAGAAAAACCATATCATTAAAAACGGGGGGGGGTTGGTATATTTATGCAACGCACTGTATAAGTAGTAGCCGGCATTTCGGTATGATTTTCGAGAAGAACCAGCTGTCCTACAGAATAGGTTTTCGCGAGTACAAAGCCGTCGTTGAGGGGTTAATGAAAGAGGAACACATACAGGGTGATCCTCTCGCTACGCTACCCAAAGACATCCAATTTCTGTCATCGCTGTACATGACCGTCGAGGCCCCTGCGGCGAGGACGGTTGTGTGCGTAGAAATGTGTGTTCTGAGCAGAAGAGACCCATTTAAACGTTGCGGAAAACAGAATATTTTCTTAATGGTTACGCTGTACGAGTAAATTGAAATGATGTACGAATTTGTTACTTCCTCGCACATCTGGATAAAAATAGAAGCTCCGTGTAGGCGCTCGAGGGTAACTTTTTACCTGCAAGGGAGCGGTTGAACGGTGGTGGTTATTTGTCTAATGAATTCATACTTTCTCTTTTATTGCCTAAGTGCATTTCGTTGGTCAAATTTTTGTCCCAAGAATCATTCGTGTTGAAGCGTTCGTAGTGCGATTTTGAAGTGAGCCAAAGCGATTCGTTTTAAAAACATGTATACAATTGAACAGCGCGGATTTATAATTCGTACATATTACAGTATGCAATCGATAACGGTGTGTCAAGAACAATTTGAAAACACTTATGGTGGAACAGTGCTATCGAAAACATGTATATTAAGATTGGTTGATAAGTTTGAAACCACTGGAAGTATCCATAATCAGCATGGAGGTGGGCGCAAAATGACAACAGAAACTGTGGAAACGGTGAAAACGCAATTATTGCAGGCTCCATCCACCTCATTTCAGACGATTATCTAAAGAATTGAACGTGCCGTATACAAGTTGTATACCCCTATCGGATCTCTGCGGTTCAAGAATTACAGCCGCACGATTATCAAAAACGTGTGGAATTCTGCACCTGGTTTGGAAATTTTATTAAAGAACGACAAGATATCCTAGATATTACTTGGTTTACGGACGAAGCATGGTTTCATCTAAGCGGGTATATGAATTCGCAAAACTCACGAAGGTGGGCAACTGAAAATCCGCACGAAACATTTGAAGCACCTCTACATTCTGAAAAGATAGGAGTGTGGTGTTGTATTTCGAGACGACGAATATTTTTTAATTCAACCGTCAATTCACATGTATATATAAATTCCATTTTTGAAGAGTTTGTGAAAGAATTAACGGACGACGAATTGGCAGAAGGATACTTCCAACAAGATGGAGCAACATGCCACACCTCTGACGCTTCAATGAGGGAAATCGAAAGTTATTTCGATAACAGAATTATATCTAAAAATCTGTGACCTCCCAGATCACCAGATTTAACCCCACCAGACTTTTTCTTGTGGGGTTTCCTTAAAGGACGCGTCTACCACAATAAACCAGAGACAATAGAACAATTAAAATGGAATATAAAATGGGAGATACAAAATATTAGCGAAGATACGCTGATTTTAGTGTTCAATAATTTGGAAAAACGAATTCAAAAATGTTTGGACGCTGGAGGGGACCACTTCCAGCATTTGATATAAAAATAAAAAGGTAAATATATACAAATTTACTGTTTTCCACAACGTTTAAATGGGTCTCTTCTGCTCAGAACACACATTTCCACGCACACAACCGGCCTCGCCGCAGGGGCCTCGACGGTCATGTAAGCGATGACAGAAATAGGATGTAGACTACCAGATTCTATTCAGGCGGCACTTGCTTTGGATAGCGTAGCGAGAGGATCACCCTGTATGTTTCCATCCTATTATCAAATTTCCAAAGGCAAGACAGAATGCTCTCCTAACAAGGCTAGTATGGAAATAACTGAGAGAGAAGCAAAGATTTCCCTTCAAGCACTCTTATAACCCCCTCTGTAAAGGAGCACGTACCGAATGGGAAAAACCTAACGCTTATCTCTAGATGGGGACTAGATGGATCATCCAGTCAGAATGTGTATAAGCAAACTTTTTCTTTGCATTGCGACCAAAACATGGACGATTCATCGTTGTATTTGACAACCCTGGTTCCAATCAAGTTGATCGACCAAAACGATTCATCGGTTGTTTGGAAAAATGATCCTAGACCTTCATCGATTCATGTTTGCAGGCCTCTAAGGTTCATGTTCTGCCAAGGAACTCCGGAGGTAATTAAAAAAGAATGCGAACGCGTGGAATCGGAAATCGCTTTGCTAGGTCCAACACACATTGATGCGTCCATTATAAGTCATCAACTTCACATGACTATGATCGATGGGAAAACCATCAATGTTGTGACGGAAACTAATTCTTCCATGCGCTGCTATATTTTCGACGCTACACACCTACCCAAATGAATGACTTGGAGAGAGTAACAATCAGAATTCCTAACGAAGATTGTTATAAATTCGGGATATCTTCATTACACGCAAAAATTCGATTTTTCGAATGTCTGTTGCATTTGAGCTACAATTTGGATTTCAAAAAATGGTCCGCATCAACTAAAAGCTATAAAGATCAACCGCAAGAGAAGAAAGAAATTCAAAAAAAATTTTATATTAGGTTGTGTTGGGAATCTTAATTACCGACGTATCGGTAACACTTACTTCGATACATTAATGTCACTAACGAGGCGCTCGCTCTCGTCGCTCTCCCCACTCTACCAAACTTTTCGAGTTCACCTTTGCGACTAACGGATTTTCATTAGAATCATTAGAAATTCAGACGAAAAAGAGAACGGTTAAGTGAAAGAACGACAAGAGCGAGCTAAATTCCAACTGGTTTATTGTAAAACTACCCGGTTTAACACTTTATAAATCTTACAAATCTTCAAGTATTAACTAAACTGAAAACCAAAAACTAAAACTAAAACTATAATTAATCCATTAAAAATCTAAAGCTATAACTAATTAAAACTAGACTTTATTCTATCTAAACCCTCACTCACCATCCGATTATTCATTTTTTACTTTCGCACTTTAAACAAGTTGGGCCTTCCTGTTGACGGTGTTAAGCAAGGGGTTGGTAGTTTTAATGACGGTAACATGGCGAGGAAGTTTTTCAAAGATCCGGAAACAACTGCAAAAATCACTGGACTCGAAGAAGAAGTTATTAGGAGGTTCGCGGTAATTTTACAAACAATCTCGTCGGGTCAGGAAATATGTCCTAAGAAATTTGGATTGTATGCCAAAGAAACTGCCGAAATATTCGTCAAGCATTATGAGTGGTACTACATGCCAGCCTCAGTGCATAAAGTACTTATTCACGGAGAAAGAATATTAGAAAATTTTATAATTCTTTTAGGGAAATTCTCAGAAGAAGCCCAAGAGGCCCTAAATAAAATCTTTCGACATACAAGGGAGTTTAGATCCAGAAAAATGAACAGAATTTCAACTAACGAAGATATTTTTCATAATCTCCTGATTAGTTCTGACCCACTAATTTCTAGTTTGAGACCTCGAAATTCCCAAAGCTCAACACAAGAGTCTTTGTTATCAAAAACTCGGAGACTGCTCAAAGTTCCTCGTATTTTTGAATATCAAGAAGATGAGTTTTCGCCAGACTTCAATTTTGATTAAAAATCTAAAAGTTGTTATGTTTTATTTTCCCCCTTTTTCTCTTCCACCTACTGTCAGACTTTCAACTAAAATTAGAAAAAGAAATCCAATTTTTTTATTTAAAGAAAAGCAAAAATTCTCGATAAAATAGGGCGTTTTTACAAGTTTTACTTTAAAAAAAGAAAATTATATGTAGAAATATAGGTAAATACGAGCAGGTTATACAATGTAGAAATATAGGTACTGTTAAAATTATGCGTTCCTAGGAGTTACAAGACGTCCTTATTATGTTCGAAATTAATTTTGTTGTCAAATTTCAAAAATACTAGATTTAGGCGAAAGATTTTTCATTTTCTCTATTTTTTCGTGAAACTTTCCCCATTCTGACTTCATATTTGTGTTTCTCGCCCTTGAAAACATAAGGTTACCAAATATCAAGTTATTCTGACGTCTTTTACATGCTCTATGTCCAGGTCCACGAAAACACGCCTTTCGTCCCACTGCACAGTGGTCCAGGCACCCGCTTTTCGTGGCCAAAATTAAAAACGTCTCTAAATCGACTTTTGACCAAATATAATAAATATAAATATACTAAATATAATTAATAGACCTAAAATACAACTAAACAAATGCAAAAATATAATTTAAAAAAAATTTTTTTATTGTAATTCGGTATTATCTAAATATCTAAATATACATAAAATTGATTCGTCCTGTTCTTGATCTGAATCCTCTTCACTAGTTATATCTTGTGATAAATTAGATCAAATACTTATAACAAATTAAAATTATGTTCTAACCAGTTTAATTGCATAGAATCTTAAGAATAATTATATTAAGTGGAAACTACACGCTACACTATATTAAACTTTGATATATAAACAAAAAATTAAAAAATACGTTTAATATGCATAACTATAATAAAATTATACTAAATCTACACTTTTTATTATTGATGTTTCGCCTAGCACGTTGACTAAAATACGACTACGGCGATAAACTGAAATACGTCTCCAAATGATTATTATCTCGTGTTTATAAGAATTAATACTAA